TAGTGACTTGAACAACCGTGGTTGGCTTCTGAAGTCGGCCCAGCCATGGAGACCTTGGGCTCTAAGTCTCTGGCATACTCGCCAGGTTTCCACTTCCTTTTCTAGGGCTCTCTCTGCCCACTTCTGTTACATGGTTACTAAAGTCCAGACAAAGAAAAGGAGTTGAGGATTCATTGCTTGAACTCCTGGAATGATTGAGTCAAGAAACGTACAAGCTCCAGAAGCCAGTGGAATCACAGTGTACTACTGTAACCTTGTGAATGCATATATACCTCCTTCTGAATCACCAAAGGTGGAGAAGATTGGATCAATATCTCATCCAGTCAATAATTTATGAAGTCGGTGCAGTCATCTACTTCCTGAAAAGCAGCTGAACGTCTATGGAGGTTAGTCATGATCTGTGCTCCTCGCACCAGAGCCCATTTGAGCTACAGAACAGCACAGAATGTCACAGAATAGCCAACAACGTGGAGTTCTTTTGGTGTGAACGAAGGAGGAATGCCTGGCTGCTCCTCTCCATGTGCAGATAAGGAGCCTATGCACTTCCCAGACCCAGGCTTGCTTGGCCTTTAGCCACTCAGTCTGTACCCCGCCTTGCCACTGTGTGTCCTGAGTAACCCCATCTCCACTTCCTTGTCTTGTAAACTAGGGACAATCTATCTCAAAGGCATGTGTGCACAGAGGTCAGTGCCCAGCACACAGTGCATGCTCAATAAATGTGTTAGCTGATGTTGCTTTCACTATATGATTATGATCACTCTCTGTTCTACTTTTATAAACTCACCAGCATTGAAAAGGAATGAGTAGATTTGTTAAAATGAAAGTCAAGTCTCAGTTTCTCATTGATATTCATCCCAAAGAGAGACCAGTGCTCACAACCACAGGAGCTGGACCTAGAAGGAGAGGCAGTATTTCCGGGATGGAGGAGCTAGATCTGAAGAACACACAGGATTCCCAGAGTGGAATCCTGGAGAAAGTGTATTCTCGACTGAGCAAACCAAGCAGCACAAGCACAGAGGGCTGAACACACACGGCAGCCTGTCTGGAGAGCTCTGAAGAGATTGGTATGACTGGACAGGAGCATACATGATGCTTTGGAACACAAAACCTGACAGCTAAGAGGGTGAAAGGCCAAGAGATGGAAGACCCTGAGCACAGAATTTAGCACGATGTGCTTGCATCTCTAGTCTGGTGCAGACCATTGGAGGATTTCTCAGGGGAGGGAACCTGGGCCAACCTTGTTCCAGGAAACTCTCTAGCAATCGTGGGAAGCCCAGGGTCCAGGGGGAGGAGTGGGTATGAGCTCCGGGAAATGGGCCACCCCCATCAGACCCTGTCCATCCCATGGTCTAATCCTATGGAATTCGGAATAATGTGGAAGCAGCTCGTCCAAGAGCTAGTAATCATGCCCACCAATTACTGGTTTACCTGATTTTCTGAGATGTTCTGTAATGCCAAAGATAGAGATGGTTTGACCTTACGTTTGGAAACCTCTAAAAGTTGAAATGTCTCTAACAACCTTTTCTTTGGAAGTTGGAGCTCACACATACAGGGTGTGTGATAAGCAGTTACTTTTCCTCATCAAATAAAATAGAGAAAACACATGAGCATCAATTATAAAGCTCCCAGTCAATCAGAGTCAAGGTTGAATTTCAACTCTTTTATTTATTCCCTTCTTTAACTGGGGATTGCATTGGTCTGCGAAGTGCCTGCTCCCATCCTGCTCCACTTGAATGAGTGGCTCCAGGCCCATTCTTGACTGCTGCTGACACAGGACTGCCCACACTATTGGAGCGTCTTCCGCCGCAGCTAGTCATTTCCATGTGTCATCTGCAGTTTTTTCTGCCTGATGGACTACTGAGGCACTGCAAGCGTATGTTAATGCTGATATGGGGTCCTGTTTCTTGACCCATCACTAATATCCTACAAGTCACACGAAGCTACCAGGGATTCCTGGGCAAGAGCTTAAAATGCTTTGGCTCTCTACAAATAAGCCCCATTCATTGCTTTTAGAATGTGTCATCATCAAGCGGGCAAACAATCAGAATCCTAAAAATATTTGCACACGGGGAATTTAAAGAGTTTAATGTGGCTGTAAAATAGTGTTTAAAATTATCAAGGAGCTAGGTATGCAGGCATAAAGAATTGCCAATTGTAGAAAGCAATGTTTCTGCTTGTGTTCCAGATGACCTTGCTCCAAGGACAAATTGGAGTTTGATGAAATGAAGCTGCAGATGGCCAGTGCACTCAGCTCTGTGCTAATGAACCACCAAGGTGGGGGTGGGGGTGGGGGCGCTGAGCCCTGTATAGTTGATATAAATACCGTCAGAATAGCAAAGCAGTCTTTTTCACAAGTACATTGAGTTCACTTGCTAAGAATATTTTGTGTTTTTTGTTTCGGTTTTGGCTTTTGTTTGGATTTTGTTGAGTGGGCATGTGTCATCTCTTAAACGCTCCAGGTAGTTAGGTTGTCTTTCTAATCACATTTTTGGTTTTTTTCAATTTTTTTATACTGTATTATTTTTTATTTGTATTATTTTTTTTAGTTGGAACAGAGTTGATTGTACATATCCGTGGGGTACAGCATTGAATATCAATACCTGTGTGCAATATGTGATGCTCAAATCAGGACAAGTAGTATATTCATCATTATACAATGTCACTGATATTCGTGGCCCTTTACCAACTCCCCCTTTCCCACCCCCAGCAATCTCAGTTCTGTTCTCTTCTCTTAAAAAGTTCAACATATTATTGTTTTTTTGTTTGTTTGTTTGTTTGTTTGTTTGTTTTTAAAAAGATGACCGGTAAGGGGATCTTAACCCTTGACTTGGTGTTGTCAGCACCACGCTCACCCAGTGAGCTAACCGGCCATCCCTATATAGGATCCGAACCCGAGGCCTTGGTGTTATCAGCACCGCACTCTCCCGAGTGAGCCATAGGCCAGCCCTCAACATATTATTGTGATGGTTGCATCTTTTTTCTATTTTTCAATTTATTTGTTTATTTTTTATTAGCTCCCACATATAAGTGAGGACATGTGGTATTTCTCTTTCTGGGCCTGGCTTATTTCACTTAACATAATTTTCTCTATGTTCATCCATGTTGCTGTGAATGGCAGTATTTCATTCTTTTTTATGGCATAGTAGTATTCCACTCTATAAATATACCACATTTTCCTTATTCACTCATTTGATGATGGGCATTTAGGCTGGTTCCAACTCTTGGCTGTTGTAAATAGAGCTGCAATGAACATAGGAGTGCAGGTGTCCCTTTGACATGATGATTTCCATCCCTCTGGGTATATACCCAGCACTGGGATTGCTGGATGGTATGTATAGCAGCTACTGCCGAGGGCAGCAGTGCCACACAGACAGCCGTGCGGGACCCTGGTAAGTGGGCCCTACCCCCGAGAGCCTGACGCCCTGCTGCCCAGGATGCCAGTGCGACAGGCAGCCGGGCCATCAGCAACACTTCCTGCACCTATTCATATTTTTAAATATTTATAATCTGTTCTTAAAAATGTGTCTGGAGCCCCCCTTGTAAATCCTTGCTTGTACTTTTCTTAATGGCACATTTTTAATAGTTTCTACATTTTAAAACTTGCTTTCTATATGGCAAGTTAATGATTGAACACATGCACACGTACTCACCATGGCAAACTACGTGTGGGCTTGGGAACGAGGCAAACCTGGGTTTGCATCCTGCTCTGCTACTAACTAGCTGTATGACTTTGGGCAACTTAGTTAACTTCTCTGGGCCTCAGTGTCATCACCTGTAAAATGAGGACGGTAATATTTCCTGCCTCATAGACAGCTGTGACTAATGATTGAGTGAGACCAAATATTTAAAGCACTTAGGTTAGTGCCTGGAGCATAGCAAATATTCAGTAAATTCAGTGGTGGCAATTTTTATTGCTATCTCAAATAATGCATCCAAATACCTACTGGACTATCATCCATTGCGAAGACTTGCCCAGTAATCAGTGCTTAGTGTTTATTGCAATGAATTGAATTGATTCTCCCCATTTAGCTTAGATTTGGGGAATGAGTATTTCCCTTTCTCCTGGGATGTTTGATTGTAGACACAGATGGTCACTCACAGCTCAGGTATTAAAATCGTGAGAGCAAAGGCGCTGCCTCATGTAGAAAGAGCAAAAGCTCGTCAGGGCAGGCTTCCCCCAGTCCTTTCAGACAGCACTGCTGCTAAGCACTTGGCGTGTCAGCCACTCGAGTTCTGAAGATTTTGCTGACATGGATATCAAGGATGAGGCTATTTTAATTGCCTTTGTCTGAAAGAATTGGGTCATACGTTCAATACATTCAATTCTGGTGAAATCCCTGCCTTCTAACGCATGATAGAAAAGGGAGATCCCACCCACACACAAGTCCTGAAACCTTGGGGCCCCGGGCGGGGTATGCAGCGAGGGCTGCAGTTCAGGACTTGGCCGTTGTGAGATTTACACTTGACTGTTTGGTTTCGCATGCACCATTTGGTTTTGCAGATGCCTCAGCATGTCTACGCACACACAGCTACAAACCCGTTTAAAGTTGCGTGCTCTGTTGCGGGGGGAGGTGGGGAGAGGGATTGGTCAAAGTCATTGGCAATGAACCAGATCTCTGACTTAGCCTTATTCCCATTTTCTACAAGACAGTGATTGCTCAAAGCAGGGGATTCTTCGCATGAGATCCATGGATGGGTATTAAGTGGTCCAGAAACTCCCCTAAAATTATACGTAAAATGCTGGTGGGCTGAGAAGGGGGAGACACCATAAGTGCGTTTTCTGTGGACAGTGACTATATAGCTTTTAGTTGATTCTCAAAGGAGTCTGTGACTCACGACAAGCAAAGACCACAAAGCTGTTTGGTTTTCTTTCCCCAAACCGGTTGGTGTGTATAACCACAACCCCCAAACGACCCAGCTAGGCGGTAGGGAAGTGACAAGATCAGTCAGACCCATTTTGTGGCCAAGCAGCTGATGGATTGTTCAATCGGTTGTTGTAGACTCATGTAGACAAAGCCTGCAAGCTTGGGGAAGCCAGGCCCCCCCAGGTCAGCCTCGGGCGACAGCCCCCATCCTGCCAGGCCCTGGGGAGCGAGTCCTTCCTGCCCGGCAGCTCCTTTGCTCATGAGCTGGCCCGAGTCACCTCCTCGTACAGCACCTCAGAGGCAGCGCCCTGGGGCGGCTGGGATCCGAAGGCCTGGAGGCAGGTGCCCGCTCCACTACTGCCTAGCTGCGACGCCGCAGGTAAGTCACTTCCCCCTGAGCCTCGCTTTCCTCATCTGTCAACCGGGACACCGTCCCCTGCGCAGCCTGCCCGCCTGCCTCACAGGGTTGTTGGGAGGAACACAGGAGGTGACAGCTCCGAAGGCAAAGCTCTGCCCGCCTATGAGGGACTTCTAGTGCTTTCTGGCCCTGCTCATTCTCTGCTTTCTCCCGGGCATTCTTTGGCAAAGGGACAACCCACGCAAGCAGAGTGCTCCCAGCGCCTCGGCCTCACCTCCAGGGAAATGAATGGGGGATCGCCCAGGGGCTTTGCTCTCTCCATCTGCCATATGCTTTCCAGCACCCCATTTCCTTACCTGCCTGTCTGTCCCTATGGCCAGACTGGGAGCCCGAGGGGGACAGGGGCTGTGCTTCTGCACCACGCAATGCCTGCCTGCTTGATGCCTAGTGCGTGCTCAGGAACTGCCTCTCCTGCCAACGATCTGCTATGGATTCCACACCCTGCAGTATTCTTTGACCCCACCCAGGACTCCCGCGCCCTAGAAGTGGGAAGTTGGATTGCCCCACTGGAGGACTGGCAGTCCGGGGAGGGCAGGCAGAAGGAGTCCAAGCCAAGCCTGTTCGAGATGGCTGTGAGTTTGATCATCCTCTAGATTCTTGCCTTGACTTGCCCCAAAGAGTCACGTTAGTGGTCATGAGAGCAGGATGGCGGACACCAGCCAGAGTGGGCCTTTGCAGAGAATTTCATTTGGATCATGGAGTTGTTGTTCTGGTGCATGAAATGTCAGTGTGCACAGGGTATCTGCCCTATCTGCAGAGAGAACTGGAGAAATGAGCATTTTCTAAGTGATAGTGATCAGAAGATGGTCATCAAGCTGAGAGGGCCTCCCAGGATTCTGGCCTTTAATGGCAATTCTGCTTGGGTACATACAGCCTTGTTCTCTTTATCCTGCCTGCCCTGGCCTGGAGGAACGAGCAGTGCTTTCTGTTCAAGGGCTATTGATTTCTCTCTCTCTCCCTGAGTCACAGTGCTCCTCAGCTGTTCGCTCCAGCTGAAACCGGAGAAATCTTGTCCAGCACAAAGCTGCCAGGGAAACGGAATTAGCAAAACACACGGAGACATCGTCCACTCAGGATGTCGCTGTTTCCACCCTGGTCTGCCCTGCCATTCCCTGTTTTCGGAAGCCACAAATGAAAGGATCCCAGCTAGCTTGCTTTGAAAATTCCTACCCCCCACCTTGTTATGTCTCTTCCCAAGCCAGCAGCGCCTTTCACCCAGCAGCAGAGGGCGAGGCAGATGTGTGGCCCCCAAGCCTTCTCTAGAGCGTTGGAAGTTGGCCCCACCTGGGGGGCTTTAAGTGGCAGGCCTGGCATTCACTAAGTGCTGCGTCTCAGCACAGCCACCTTGTCAGTCCAGCCTGTGAGTCAGTGCGAGACACAGGAGGCAGGCACGCAGGGGAAGAAAGGCGCACTGGAAAGACATCTGTTTCCTCTGCCCGGGGATCATTCCCAGCAATTCAACCAAGCCCTTCTGGGACCGGCTGGCCCCGAAACCACCGAGACCGAGAAGGAGTCAGAGTAGAGTTTACACAGTCATAGGCCAAGTGCAAAGACAGAAAATGGAGGGTAAAATGGATGACCTCCACGGATCTCTGCCATTCGCTTTTGGTGGCATTTATTTTGTGAAGCCCCCAATGACAGCTTCAGACCAACTCAAACTTAAGGGCAGTGCCATGACCATGGATGAGGTCCCCAGCTCCTGCACAGGGATCCAGACAGGCAAAGAAAGGCCCCAGCGGGCCAACACTGCCCCAGGCCGAAGCCCGTGCCTGCCCACCCTCCATCCCTTCACCCTGTCACATTGTCTTTAGAACGTGATCTTCTTTGATTGATTTACACGTGTCTATTGGAAGCTCCACAAGAGTAGAGACGCACGGTGATATCCCTGTGCCTGGGACAAAGCCTGGCCCATAGGAGACGATAAATGTTTGTCAACTGACCAACAGAGAGACTGACTGGGCTGCCACATAAGGCCTATCTTCCCATTGGGTACTTGGGCACATAGGTTCAGGGACCCCAGAGTCATTGAGGCCCACATCCCTCTGGCTGCACTCTGGGCAAGGAAAGGCATTGAATCAAGGCAAAGTCAAAGGTCAGGTAGTCAGGGGGCCCCACCCCAGACTTTGGCCTCAGCAGTCACAGGGAGGGAAGGGCCCAGATACGTACTCGTCACTCCCTCTGGTCCTGCCTTCTCTGCAGGCATTCTGGAGAAACTGAGTCACAGGCTTCGAGAGTTAGAAGGAAAGTGGCAAACAACAGAAACTTGCCTGCCATTCACTCTAGGAAGCGTCTGTAGTTTCTGAAGGACACCTGAGGAGGATTTTTGCCTAAGAGCACCCATACCCCCAAAACTAGTCTTCCAGCAGCGGTGTCTACATTGCCTCTGTCTATGGGCCATGGCCAGCTGGAGCCGTGGGTCTCAGGGGTCCCCACCCATACTGTGTGGGAGCCCCCAGAATTCAGTTCTTGTTTGTAGGGTGACTCCCATGCAGTATGTCATCTTCCTGTCATGTCAAAGGAAAAGTCAACAGAGTGGGTGAGTTGTTCCCAATCCTGGCTTCCAAAGACTGCAAAAGAAGGTGCTTTTCCTTGTGGAGTAATAAACAAACCAGCCCGCACTGGAGCTCAGTAACCTTTGGGACAGATAGCTGAGTGCCTTCTGCTGCATGGCAGGCTGGCTCTGTGGCTGCTGGGAAAGGAGGCAGCACTTCCCTTGTGAAGACCGTCTCCCCTCTCTCCCCTTTTCCCTCCTCCCCTCCCCTCTTCGTCCTCCTCCTCCTCCTCCTCTCTCCCTCCCTTTCTCCCTCCCTCAACGTAGTTTAGGAAATAAGGCTTTGGATCCATTCCCTGCCACTCCCCAGAAGCCATTTCAGTTGAGTCTTCCCCAGGTCAGAATGCTCTCCTGCAGGGCACCACTGTGCAAGTAACTTTAGTCTGAATCAGGCTGAAATGCAGGAACATTTTGTGGGCATGTCTCTGTGAGTGCTGCTGATCAGCTGCCCTCTGCCTCTCCCCCGTTAGAGAGTCCCATTGCCTGATTAAGTGGTTGAATTAGTAATGAGATCATTCTTCGTCTGCAGGGGTGAGAGGGCAGCACCAGGTGATTGCACGGGGGTGGACAGGGGACATTAGCATGTGGCGGCTAATGAGTGAAGTTGATACAGTGCTCGGCCTGGTCTGCTGGCAGGCCCCGTACTGGGCTCAGTCGTGCCAGTGCACAGTGGTGGGGTTTGGGTGGGCCAGACCTTTTGCCTCTCTCCTGCCCAGCACACAAGATGAGGCACTAGCCCTTCCATGAGCCCCCAGGCACAGGTGGGGGCTTTACAGCTTACTGGGCATCAGCATGACGCTTTCAGAAAGTCAGCCCCAGGTCTTCCCGGGTTGCCATCCTGGCTGAGACCTGTCTGTGAATGCAGCGCCTTGGCTGAGTGAGGCTGAGAGGGTGTGTGACAGAAGAACCAGGGCCTTAGTTCTCTGTGACACTTCCTGCTGACCCCAGCCCTAGGCTATCCATGGTGGCCACCATGAGAGAAGCACACCTGGGCTCACAAAGGACCCACCTGTCGGTGCTGCTGGTCAGTGTCACCTGGCACAACAGGACCGAGTACCATGACAATTGCAGCCCTAGAAAACTGGGTCATTTGACGACCTCCTCCATAACTTTGCTTATAAAAAGCCACACGACCTGGGCCATCCTTCACAAGAGGGCAGAAAGCAAGTGTCCAGTCACTAAGCAGCAACTTTCAGCCACCATTTCCTCCTGGTCACTGAAACCATTTGTCATTTCCTGTTTTCTCCATTTTCCAGCGATTCTAATTGTCAGTGTCAAAAGGCAACAACTGTTTTCTTGGGGCTTATCTTTGGAGCACATTGATTCAGAACAAAGGATGGGAGCCTCCGTCTGCAAAACAAAGGAAGCAGTCTCCTCGGGAAGCCTGGGGAGAGTGCCCTGGCTCCCTCTGCCAGCACAACAGGACCAGGGTGGGAGCAGAGGATTGGCAGTGCCCCTGGACACCCCAGTGGGCTGAAGAGTCCATGACGGACAGCCTCTGCTTGCCAGTAGCACCCTGGACATGGGGGTCGTGTGGAGCTGGCCACCAGCATCACAGGCTGGCTGACAATGGCGCTATTTGGAGTTGGCATTTTCTGTAGTGATGCTGCTGACCAGATTTTCCCTTAAACGCTGGGGTGCTCTGGAACTTGTGCTTCTTTGAATGAATACGCACCACCATCCTGTTTGTCCCTATAACACGGGACTGGTTGAGAAGTGCTCTCTGTCGCCTGGCAGACCCTGCCCAGGCCCTCCACCCTCTGAAGCCTGCCCCAGCCCAGCCTTTCCTTTTGTTTTCTGAGCCCCTGGGTTGACATTCTCTTTCCATCCTTCCCTTGGGACTTCTCTGCCCTTCCCCTGCTTTTTCTTTGGTCGCACGCCCTATCCTCCGTCTGCCCCTCCACCCGCCCCTATACAATTCTGTTATTTGATTAAACCAATGGGGCAGCCAGTGGGGATGGAGTTAGGGTCAGTGTAGACCTAGCCGGCCACACAGGAACCAGTCCCCAGAAGCAGCAGGCTGGAGCAGTGGAAGCACTGGATCTGCAGTTAGGAGACATTGTACTTCCTAGCCATGTTGCTTTGGGCAAGTCATTTAACCTCTCTGAGCCTCAGATGTCACACCAGTAAGCTGGGGACCATAGATCTTCTGCCCCGATATCCTAGGGGTGGCATAAGGGTCAAGGGGAGGAACAGAAGTGAAAGGGCTGCCTCCAGAGATAGTCACCCCCCTGAGCATATCAGGCAGATCCCAATGGTGTGGCCCGATCACAGGACCCCCTTGCTCCCCAGTGTCCGCATGGGATGTTTCGAGAAGACGTGAAATAACGGGTGCGTGCGAAGTGCTCGGTACAGTGAGTGCTCCTGAAAGCAGCCCGTCCCCGCTCCCCGGCCAGTGCCTGTGCAGGAAGAGGGCAGCTCCACGGGCCACGCCTACATGCCAGCAGCCTGGCGGAGGCGGAGGCGAGAGCTAGGTCAGGAAGCAGGCTAAGGGCAGGATGGAAAAGCAAAGCCCAGTCTGCTGAGATCGCTTCTGGCGTAGTCTTCCCGGTGCCATGGGTTTGTCCCCCCTGCCTTAGCAGGAACTGAGGCCAGGAACTGCTGCCAGACCTGAGAGCCGGGCACACTCCCAAGCGCCAGCCCCCGTGAGCGCAGAGAAGGGCTGCCCGAGAAGCCCTTTGCTGGAAAAGTGGTTGCTGCCCGGGCAGCCCCTATTGCGGAGTCAGGTCTTCTGGCATCTGGGGGGATACAGGCGGGAAAGTGGACTCGAGGACGTGTGCTCCCTGACAGAGCTGTCTCGACCACTGGCACTCGAGCGAGCAGGCCTTCTGAGAAGGGGAGAGGGTGGCAGCAGGTGAGCAGAGATGGCCAGGCTCCCCGGGCTGCGTGGTGTGAGGCTTGGAGCACTAGACTTGGAGCCAGATCTGGGTCCCAGTCACAACCTGGCACCGACTGGCTGAGAGTCTCAGAGTGAGTCCTGCCTTCTCCATGCCTTGGGGCCTTCATCTGGTTCTCTCCTGGCGATGTTCTTCCCCTTTGCCCCTTGTGCCAGTCCCACACTGAGCCCTGGGACTGTGACCTTGAAGCTGGGCTCCTCCCCCTGCCCAGCCAGCCAGCTTTGAGATGGAGAAGGGAAGCTCCTCCCAGTCGCCCATGCTGCAGCCACTCAGGGGAAGGAAGGGAAGCTGGCAGTGAGTTGTTGACTATTCCTGGTGTGGGACACTGTGTCCATCTGACCACGTGATCATACGGCTGTTCATGCCAGGACCACCCGGAACAAGCCTCGGTCCTTTCCCCATGACAAGGTCCTTTCTCCTTGCAGAGGCTGGGCACCCACCACCACATAGCCCAGAGTCTGCTCTGCCTCAGCTGTAGCACCACTGGCTTGCTCAGCCATTTCTCATCTGGGTAACCTGAAGTCCAGTTCCTACTCAATTGCTTACCATCCTCTGGACGCAGCCAGTTTGTCTGGGTCTCCCTGAGACTGCCATGCCCAGACTCATGTGGTTACCGCGGGCATGATCTGGCCAAGGCAGAGTAGCATAGGACTGTCACCTCCCTCCTTCTACATACTCTGCTTCTATTAATGCAGCCTAATGTTACATCCGTTCTTTTGGTGACCACATCTCACTGCTGAGCCATCCTGAGCAAACGGACATCCAAAGTGCCGAAATCTTTTTCTATGTGCTCTTGCTATTAAGCTCTGTCTCTCCTGCCCCATCCTATGCTGTTGCAGTTGGTTTTTTTTAACCCAGGTGCGGAATCCTACTTTTATTTATACCTGTGGAATTTTGCTCGGGAGGGTGGGGCATGCATGCAAGTGTGTGTTGGTGTGTTCACTCATGCTTTCTGCTACACCAAAGCCAAGTCCCAGGTCCCCACACAGCAATCCCAAGGCTAATATTTCTTGGTAGCTGTAATCTAATGTGTCTTTTTCATCTTCTGTTTAGCAAGAGAAGCAGAGATCAGGTCTTACGGCAATGACCCCTGAACAGCTGAGTGCATATATCGCCCAACAGATGAGTCAATTTCAAGGTGAGCAGTTAAGCTCAATGTTCCTGCAGGGGCGGGTGAGGTGGCGCAAATGTGGGGCTGGGGTGAGAATTCATTGCAGCCTGAGCAGCTACTGTCTGTGTTTCTGAAAGCGCTGAGGAAGAGAGAAAGGTCTGAAAGTCAGTTAAGTAATACCCAGACTGGATCTCTCACCTTGAAAGCACTTCATCCAACTCTCTAGAGCAGGATCCCAGTTGAAGCCCAGGTCTTAATGACTCCAAAATCAGTTTAATTCAAGAGACTGATTAAGCTGAGTCAAGCCCCTTAAAGCAGTTATTCTCAGTGGGAGAGGAACATGCCCCTGGGGTGTGTATCAGAATCACCTGGGGGCTGCCACACCCACGGGGTCTGATCCTTCCCCTGCCACACACGTTCACATACTGCAGGAATGACCTTCTATTTCTAACAGCTTCCTGCGTCATCTATCAGGTGTGAGGGATGGAAAGGGGGTCGGGGAGGCTCCGCCTCAGGGAGTCTGTTTATGAGGCTCCCAGAGGCTCCACAGATAGCAGTGTCCCCACACTACTACGGCAGCTATGAATGTAATCCACATTTATTAGCCAGGGGTACAGCAGTTGGCAAAAACCAGGCATGGTCCCTACTTCGTAGATCTTAACGGACCAGCCAGAGAGTCACAGTGGGGTAAAATTGAACTAGGGCACCTTTGGGAGCACTCAGAGCCTGTTTGGGGGTCAGGAGAGGCTGCTTGCCCTCGGACAGGTGGTCACCATCTTCGTTTTAGCCCAGTGCCACCCCTACACACACACACACACACACACACACACACACACCATTGCTCCTCCATGCTCATACAAAAACCCCTGTCTCTTTGGACCTGATACCAGCCGAGTCTGTGTCCCACCTGCCTAGGCTGGAGTGGCATGTCAGGCATGCTTCAGCTACAGGGACAGGTCAGACAAGTTTCAGGAAGGTGAGTGGCCTCCAGGGGGTTAACCCTATGAGGCTAGATTGTAACCTACTTGAAAAACACACGTCATGCTAATAAAAGAGCCTAAGCACATTACAAGATTTAAAAATCTATTAGCAGTTATGAGCATGGACACTGGGGTGGGTCACACAGACCAAGGCTTGTGTCCTTACTGCACTATCTCCTACCTGACCTCAGGCAAACCGTGTGATTGCTATGTGCCTCAGTTTCCACTCCACAACAGTACCACTAGATATTGGCCACAACGGGCTCTCACAACAATGACAGAAAATGCATTCCCTACCTTAAGCACCTGGGATCCAGCCTTCCGTCTTCTGCTCTGTTTCTCTCCATCCCCAGGCTTTCCAGAACTTAGGGAGGCTAGAATGTCAACTCCCAGATTTCAGCCTTTAGAAAGGAACCTGACTGCAGTTCAATTCAATAAACATCTGAGCCTCAGATGTGGGCTCAGAGGCCATCTAGGCTGTGGGGAGTACAGAGGGGACAAAACACCATCCCCATTCGTTCTTGCCACACTTGCATTCTCGTCGGGTGGGAAGCTGGGTCAAGCCACCCCTGCCTAGACTGAGTCTGAGCTATCTTCCCCACACCGCCTTCCCTTCCTTCTACCAAGTATGCACCATCTGTCAAGGCATGGACGGCACGGGGCCCTGTGTCCTGGCCTCATGGAGCTTCCAAACTACTTGACAAGGCAGGCAACTCAGCTGGGACTTAAGTCCAGCATGATCTGCTCTTGGTAGGGGGGCTGTGAGCACAGACCCGGGCAGTCTGGCAGGGCTTCCCAGAAGAACTGCAGCGAGGCTGAGGGTGGAGAAAGAAGGGAAGGGGAAAGGAAGGCGGGAGCGGGCGATGCTCAGTAGGGAGCCAAGGGTGGGAGGTGAGAAAAGGTCAGTGCTGGGCCGGTACCTCCCCCTGCGGCTGCAGCCCAAGTCGAGGATGCCTTCGGAACTGATCCCCACTTCTCTCTTTCTGTAGCCGTCCAAGAACAAGTCACCTCCAAGTGTAGCCGGACCAAGGCAAGCCCCCCATCCAGCCAGCACATGATGCCACCCAGAACCGGGCTCCTTCAGAACAATCAGAGTTCAGGCATGACCCCACCCACCAGGCGCCAGAGTCGGGAGGGCATGGGCGTGATCTCCCCTCCTCCAGGGAAGCAGCAAGGAATTTTCAGCTCTAGACCCCAGTTTCCTATACCCTCGTGCTCGGGCCAGAACCCCCAGAGCAGTCTTGGCTCTGTCTGCCAGCATACGCAGAGTCCCAAGGCCACCCCCCCAGGAGTGCCCCTGCCCGGGTTCTGTCCCAGCCCCCTGGGCAGCCAGTCCCTGAGTCCCCAGCAGCTCAGACAGCCCAGTGTGCCAAGAGTGCCCACTATGTTCAACAATGCCTCATGGGTGGCAGCAGCAGCAGCTGCCACCACAGCAGCTTCGAGGGAACCACCCCCGAGCCAAGTAGGTAATGACATTCAGCAGCACTTTGATAGCAACTCAATCTTTGCCAAGGCACCCATGAGAGTGCCCCCAGGACCCCCGGCATGTCCATCTCAGCAAGTGGTTGTGCCCCTCAGTCAGATGACCCCAGGGGGCAGGCCTGGCCAGAAGGCAAGTGCTACCCTGGCCAACCCCAGCTTCAGCCTGCTGGGCAGCCAGAGCTGCAGGCAGAGCCCAGTGAGGGGCCCCGTGCCTGTGCTGAACACCACCAAGTCCCTCCAGCAGGGCATGGCCAGCTTCGGTCCCATGAGTCCCATACAGGGCATCGAGCCCCCAAGCTATGTGGCCGCTGCTGCTGCCGCTGCTGCTGCCTCCGCCATCGCCCCCAGCCAGTCCCCAGGTTCATTCAACAGAACGACTACCCCCCCTGAGCTGCCACCTGACACCTTTTTGCCCCAGCCCCAGGCCCCTTTAAATGATCTGATTTCTCCACCTGACTGTAGTGAGGTGGATTTCATTGAAGCTCTCTTAAAAGGCTCCAGCGTGAGCCCCAGTGAAGACTGGGTGTGCGACCTGAGGCTGATCGATGACGTTTTGGAACAGCATGCTGCTGCCCAAAACACGGCAGCCCAGAATGCTGGCCACCTCACCCAGGATGCTGGGGAGCTGTAAATCTGAGCAGGACACCCATAGAACCCCCCATGTTGACGTCACTCTAGGGGGTGGTGTGAGTCCACAGCAAATTCACAACTGGCCCAGACACCCACAGTTGTCTCCTCGTCACAATTTGAGTGGTGCCAGCCCCTGCCCATCTCTCTCTCTACCTGTGATACACGGGAAGCTGGTGATTTTTCAAGCTACTTGTACATATTTGAAAATTTTGTAAATGGTTTTCCTAAACATTAATGACAGAAGTATTTATACTTCATTTTGTGACTTTGTAAATAAAGTGACGGCTTTCGTTTCAGTAGTGTTGTGTTTATCATGCATTGTTTGTGTTTATTACACATGGTTACAAATATGCAGACTGTGCTGTTCGCTCCAGTGATACCTTGTTAAGCCAGGTGGCTGAGTCGCTTACGGTTTTGATGCGTTGAGAGATGTGCATATGACCAAGAGGTGTCGTGCAAACTGCCAAATGCCAAATAGGAAACCACTTGGCCATTTATTTCCACTTTCACTAAAAATTCTATCGCCTTGTGTGATTCTTAATCTCTTTTGCAAACCTTTCAGTCTCAGCTAGCTCTTTCCTAATGAGCATTTATAGCAGAAGTCCTTTTATCGCTAAGTGCCCCCCAGAGACACTTTGCCGGGAGGCTGAGAGAGCTCTTTGCATTGGGGAGAGGCACAGAGGTGGCACGTGAGCCGAGCACTGTCCGAGCCATCCAGCTTGAGGAACTAGCGTCCGCCTCCCTTAGCATTCAGACTGAGAAAGCCCCGGCTTCAGGCTCCAGTGCACCCTCGCAGGGTGAAGGTGAGCTACTCCTGGTTGAAAGCCTTTCAGTATTTATTTTGATGTAAGGCTCTGTGGTTTGGGGGGGAAGCCTATAAACATTAATAGTTGATTTGGGGTTTGTCTTTGATGGTTTCTATCTGCAATTATCGTCATGTATATTTAAGTGTCTGTTACAGAAAATCTACACCCACTGTCCTGTAAACTTTTCTCAGTGTCCAGACTTTGTGTAATCACCTTTGAATTGCCACCTCGTATTTCGCCTCTACGTTTGAAATCTGGCATCTGTTTTGAGCCAGTGCCTTTTTTCTTTGTTCTGTAATAAACAGCCAGGAGAAAAGTGCCTCAATGTTTTCATTTTTCAAGGGAATACTCAGTTCCTACGATCCCAGAGCAGCTAAGCCTGCTAGTGGCTCTGATTCCTTCAGAGGCTGCCTGATGTCTTATGCATCAGCAAGACGCTGCACCCAGGGGAGAGGGTGACGAGTTTGCGTAGCGTGTGCTGCGGTAATTTAGCATCACAGCACAGAAGCACGTCATTTTTGACCCCGGCCCCTCACTTTACAGAGGACAAAACGGAGGGGTGGGTGGTCACTAAGGTACTCTGCACTGGGGGCAGGGGAAGGGCGACACTTGCACTGAGAGTCTAGGCTCTCCGCACCTCCATCCTCTTTCCCTTGCTGAAAACCACACTTGCCCGTCTTCAGCCAGACCCTGCCACCCTTGGAAATGGAGTGAGAACAGATCCAGACAGAATTGAGCTTGTAACTTTGTCAACTTGATGTCTGTATGTGGCCTCAGAAATCAGGGGAGATAATGCAGACAATGAACCATACGAGAACAGCAAAACCCTAAACTTCAGGGCTCCTGCGGCTCCACTGAGACCATGACACACCCAATTAAAGGTCCAACTCTTCCTATGTCAGGGACGCCCATCTAGAGTGGCTTGGCGGGGGGTGACGCCGAGGCAGGTGACATGTCTGTTGAACAGGGGAATGAAGGATCCTCACTTCACAGACAGCCAACAAGACCCTGGTGACCTGCCAGGCAGCTGAACATCCCGTATGCGTGGTCCCCAGAAAAAAGGGTCTCCCTCCCTTCCCTGCCCCTGCCACTGGCCTAAAGCCTGGGCTAATCCTTGTCCACTCTGAGTGCTGGAACCAGAAGAACTCAGAGGGCCTGGAGTCGGGGGCGTCAGGGGTGCAGGGGGCAGGTCAAAGTCCCCATGGCTTGCCTTCGGGTCCAGGTACGCTGGTGGAAGGAGAGGTATTGCTGGGATTTGCACCACGATCCCACCCCCGCCAAGCCCTGCTCCCCGGAGTCCCAGCCCAGCCCTTTCAACTCTGACCTGCTGCCCAATGCGAGCCGACTAAGGGCAGAGCTGGACGGGGGCGAGAGGTAGGCCAGAGGGGTCCTGCAAACGCTCGTTACCCAAAAGCCCCGGCTCCCGGCCCACTGCTCACACAGGCCTCTCCTGCTTCCTGCTGAGCATCCCTCCTAGGCCTGGGTAACGGATGTGTCCTGCATGTGTCCCTTGGCCAATCGTCACTCCCTGTCATAGTCTTTGCCTCTGTACCCCCCGCCCCTCACAGGCAGCACCTCCTTGGGAAGCCTCCCCAGAAGGCAGCCTCACTGTGGCTTCCAGGATTGTCCCTCTGCCTCAAGTGCCCCATCCATGCCAGGCCCCAGGCAGGCCCTGGCTTCCCCTCAGGGCCACAACATGGCACTTGGGCCCAGCTGTCCTGTCCCCCACTCTCAGAGGGCCCAGGAGCAGCAGAAGGTGGGTCCCAGGAGGCCTTTTCACCCTTGCCTGGCTCTATGTTGGAGCCACTGGCCCAGTGACTATTGCTCAGAACCTGCCAGTTGGGGTGCTGAAGCCTGTGCCTTGTAGACCCCCCAGTCCAGCCCTCCCAGTGGGGCTTCCTCAACCTGCCTCAAAGCCTCATGGGTCACAGTCATCCCCACTCAGCTCTGCCAGCCCTCACAGACCCAAAATAAAAGCTGAGTTTGGCCCACTGAGCTGGTTCCATCTTCCGTTCCTACAGGGTCTAACTTCCCATCCCAGCCACATGGGTGACATCAAGGCTGAGCCGGTGTAGGCCGTGGTGCAGACCAGCTCCCTGAACACTCCCTGCCACCTGGCAGTCCTCTCCCTCCTGGCAGTGGCTGTCCAAGCTGCCCCTTCCCGGAGCTACCACTTAGGTCCCCTCTTGCCTGCACTGTCCTATCCCTCTCAGGGGCTTTCAACCAGCGCATGGGAACAAAACCCCCTGAAGCCCACAGCCCATCCAGCACCAGCTGAGCCGTCTGCTGCCCTGCGAAGGGGTGGCAGTGTCTGCCTCCACTCCCGCTGTCCCCTGAACCCAGAGCCCTCCGGCTCATCTCCACCCCCTCCCCCTCAGTACTAACCTCCCCCTGGCCATAGAGCCAATGGAAGCTTCTCAGTCCTCAGCAGACTCACCCCTTCAGTGGCATTGGACTCTCCCTCCTCCCAGAAATGTGCTGCCCCTTGGCTCCTGGGACCTACACCCCCCGGGAACCTTCTCCCCACCGCCTCCAGCCTGGCCCTCTCTCCCGCTCTGAGGTCCATTCTCTCCTGCCCTCTGCAAGGAGCCGTCGCCTCTCCCGTCCCTTCCTCTCACTCAGCTGGTGCTTCTTCGCCCTTTTCCTGCTTTTGGCTTCTTCCCTGGGCAGACACACGGGTTCGTGAGCCTGCATCCCAGCATCTGGACATCCGGCTGAGAAGGGCATGGCGTGTCTGGTCTGGGCCCTGCCTTTCAGTGGACTGGGCCCCACACTGGCATGAAGCCCTGGAGGCCCCTTCATCCTGCTTCGACAGCAGCCTGGTGGGCAGCCCCTCATGGGCCCCCATCCTGGTTGCAAGTTCTTCCCTGAGAGGACTGTGGGGCAGAAGGCAATCAGCCCCGAAGGCCTCCCCAGGGGGCTGCAGAAAGAACCGATCTCTAGGGGGCGGTACTTCCTCCACAGCCCCTCCCATCATCCCCCCACCCCCAGCTCTGAGGCCAAGCCCAGGAGAAACCACCAGAAGTCCCCAGGAAGGTATGGGAGACCCCAAGCATCCCTCGTCCCTTAGAGCAAGCTCAGGCTCCTGGGGGGCCCAGGGCCAAGGTCTGTGGGTGAGCTGCTATTTCTCACTTGCCCTCCAGCCTGGACATCCAGGGATGTGGCAATGGACATGAGGTTCTGAGGAAGCATGTACAGCTGTCTTCCCTGGTGTGTGACCACCCAGTGACTCAACAAACATCCATGTTCCAGGCACTGGGAGGTAGACAGACATAATCTCCAACCTCACTGAGTCAACTGGCTAGAGGACTGGGGGGAGGGGAGCAGTGCGCATCCATCAGGATTATCCCAGAGAAACAGAACCAGTAGAGGGAGGGGGTGGCTAGGCGTGTCCAAAATCTGTAGGATAGGCTGCCGGGAAGGGCAATCTCATTTGGCTCTTAAGGCCTTTCAACGGATTGGCTGAGGACAACCCACATCATCCAAGATAATGTCTTTCACCTAAAGTCAACTGAGTGTAGATGTTAATTACAGCTATAAAATACCTTCACAGCAACAGGTTAGTGTTTGGCTGCTGAACTGGACACATAGCCTAGCCACGTCGACATATAAAACTGACCATCATGAGGGACAGATGATATAAACACATTAACAAATAAAATGCTATGTTAAGGTCTGCCAAGGAAACACACAAGGGGCAGAGAGAAAGAGAGAAGAGTCTGGTGGGGCCAGTGGGAAGTGGGAGCAGTCCACCTTAGCTAGGGTGCGCAGAAAGGACATCTCTGGGGGGGTGACATTTGAGCTGAGATTGAGAAGTGGGGAGGAGTAAGCCATGCAAAGAGCTAGGGCAAGGATGCTCCAGGCAGAGGGAACAGCAGGTACGAATGCCAGGAGGAATGAGAAGGAGGCTGGTGGGGCAGAGTCAGGAGAGGGGGTGGGGAGGTGGGGAAGCCCAGAGCACGCAGAGCCCCAGAGGCTGTCTCAGTGCCACAAAAGAAGCCTTGGGTCGCTTCAGTGCCATGTGCAGCATGGACCTCAGAATGAATGAGGGAGGCCAGTAAGGAGGGCTTCTCTCTGTGCACTTCCCACGGACATCTCCAAGTCAGGAGGTGCAAACCAAACTCGGCATAGTCCCCCCAAGCCTGGGCATCCTCCTGCTCAGTGAAAGGCAGTCATGGCGCTCCCCTTCCCTGCTTCTGGACACCCCCAATCCACTTGGTCTCCAAGTCCAGAACCCAGGAGTCATCCTCGATGTTTGTCTTTTCCTCACCCCTCTCGTATCCTGGAAAGATGGGGCTTCTCCCCAAATGAATCTGCAAAATATCTGCGATCACAGCAAAAGTCCCAGCAGGGTTATTTTCTGGAACGGAACCAAATTACTTAAGATTACTCATCTGGGGGGGCAAAAAAACCAAGAATATCCAGGAAATTTTTATAAAAGAAGAATCAAGAAAAGCTTCTAGCACTACCAGATATTAAAATGTATCATGAAGCTACTATATTTAAAGTGATGTGGCTCTGGACACAGGAAAAAACAGATGGGTCACTGGAAAGGACACAGAAGCACATGGGAATTGAGACTATGAGAAAGGTGGCATTCCCAATCAGTGAGGGAAACTCAATGCCCAGGGGTGGGAACGCTGGCTAGCCATTTCAGTGACACATCTGGATCCTCTGCCTCACTCCTGACATCAAGACAAATTCAGATGATTTAAAGATTAAGATAGAAAAAGAACACATAAAAGCACTATAGGGAAACTAGGGTGGATATTTTTAGAGTCTCAGGGTAGATCAAGCTTCTGCAATCATGGCATGAAACCCAGAGGCCGTAAAGAAAAAGACTGATGAAACTGCCAACATTAAATAAAAAGCTTGCACACAGAAAGACACGCCATAAAAGTCAAAAGATAAACGGCAAAATTAGAAAAAAAAAATTTGCAACGCATGACACACAAAAGCTAATATTCCTAATATTTAAACATAAAAGTAGTAGATTGTCTATAAAAAGACGAGTACAAAAATTCTGTAGCAATTTTATTCATTATAGCCAAAGACTGCAAACAGCCCAGGCGTGTGTCGTTACGAAAATGGACAAACCAGCTCTTGTACAGTCACACAACGCAATAGTGGTCATCAATAAAAAGCAATACTCCTCGGCAATGAAAAGGAAGGAACTACGAATACAGGCCACAGCAGGAATGAACTTCAAATGCATTATGCTGATAGAAAGCAGCCAGACACGAAAGCACATATACTGTATGATTCCATTTATATTAAGTGCTAAAATAGGCAAAAATAATCTATGGAAAAAAATCAACG